GTCTCTCTTGTGGTAAATTTAAATCATCGTATAAGCCAATGTAAGCCTCTACTTAAAAAATCTCTTGTACTTTATCAGAAATGTAAATTGACACAGAAATTAGTATCATTTATAACCTGACTGAAACAATTCCCAAATTATTATTAGCGCTTTATAGCTGGGAGAACAAAGCATAGCTGCTCACTATTTCTTTGGTAATGGTTATTTTTAATCTTCACTAATTACAAACACGCCACAAATTTTGCTACTTTGAACTTCATTTTGAGGTTTCTTACAGCCTCTTTGGAAAGTTATACTTTCTCTTACAGTCTCTTTGAAAAGTTATCTATGAGAAAAGTTGATCAGAAATGATTTAACAGAAATATTATTTTAATACTTCAACTGAAATTTCACATTTCTGATTTCAGAATACTCTCTGCTAAACCTATGAAGCTGTAGCATTTGACAGGCTATTTCTAAAAACTGTTCTTTAATTTTGCTGTTTTTGAATCAAGTTATTAGGCTATATGTCTTTTAGGATTTCAAAGAATCAATACATTTCAATTCTAATATTAAGAACAGTTATGTGAACCAAACACTGGGTAACTTCTTTGCAGAGAACATGTTTAAATTTGAGACAGCATTCAAACATATGATTCTTCATTTGCACCCAAAAGAAATACTTACCAAAGTATGCAAAATTGATAATCATATGGTATATGTTTTATTATAATACTAAAATATTAACTAAAATATTAATATTAAATATGATTATGATATTGTTTAAAAGTACCCAAAGCTGCTGGACTAGGAATGGAGAAACCCACTCCTTTAAGTTCTCCCTCAGGCATGGAAGCCAGCTGACCCTGGGCCAGTCACTCCCTTTCAGGCCCAAATTAGTGTCAGGCTCTGCAGCAAACTTTCTGATACGCAATACCCCTCATCAAATTATGCAATGATAGCACTGCTGTCAGAACTAGATGAGCACAGTACAAAAATAAGCAACCACACTGGACAAATACTAGGAAGAACAATGATTAAGTGACAGCAAATCATTCTAAAAATCCTAAAGCCAATTTAAATACAGAGTAAAGTACATACCAGACAATCTATGTGGTAGAGAATTATAGTGCTGTTTAAGGAAAGTTTCATTGACGTTCTTTGGATTAGTTGCCCCAAAAAGTCGGTTCATTTCTTGATTCAACACTGTCCTGACCGTTTCTTGTAGATCTTTACTTTCAGAAACTACAGTATTAAGAACATAGAATTACTTTCAGAAAAATCTATTAGGCTTTAATATTTTAAGATTTATTACGTTATGCTGTTTCTCCTGTAATCCAGATTATTCCGTTGTGCCCAATAATTCTACATCTTCGTAACAGAATACAAAATATTAAGTTGGCTGGCTTTATGTTGATAATTATAATGATATCAGCATAAAACTAGACTAAAATGAGGCATATCATTCATTTAGCTAGCCCAATATTGTTTATTCTGAAAAGAATTGGCTCGCCTGAATGTTATGTTTGCTTGCAACTCAAGATACAGTATCTTAAACAGGAGACAACATTTGTTGCTGAATATAAATTTCAAAGGGATTATCATAGATTTTCAGACATGGAAAGTGCTGGGGAGTACTGTATATTTAGTGAGGATAAAAATATTGATACATAACTGAGCAAGGAAATACAAGATATAAAAATGAACTTCGACAAACATTTGGGAATAGTTAACATCTTTTAAATTGAGAACTCAAAAGGCATAGTAAAAAGTGCTTCCCAACAATCTACCTTCACAACAACCTAAGCTCAGGCCAATTGTTCTTTCCCATTAATATTCCTGTATTTCATCAAATATTTTAGTTCAGTAAACTGTTAAGTACTGCTTACCTGAATTTATAAAAAATGGATTTGCAGATATAGAAACTAATTTTTTTTTTAAAATTGCCACATAATTCTTTATTTCAAAGGATAAACTGAGTAAAAGACGCATTGGAAATATACATAGCAATAACAAATGTTTAAATGAGCTTGTTACATTAAGTTATATATACATTTTTAATAGCCTAAAGCAGGGCTTTTCAACCTTTTCACCCATTGTACCATTTTTAGGATATGGCAATATCCAAGTACCACCAGTCGCCTAGCAAGGTGTAAAAAGCTTGATGACCCCCCCCAAAAACGGAAAAAAGTGATAAAGTACAGGTAGTCTTCGACTTACAACAGTTCGCTTAGTGACTGTTCGAAGTTACAACGGCACTGAAAAAAGTGCCCCCCAAGCCACAGCTGAGCAAGACACCTGCCTGCCTGCCCGGCAGTGCTCTTCCTCCTGTCCGAGGTTTTCATTGTTGTGGGCATTTCTGTTGAGGATTGGCAGCGGGGGTGGGGTGGGGGGGTGTTTGGTTTTTATTTCTCCCGTCTGCTGGGTGGTTGCAGCAGGTTTTGGTCACTTCACATGACCCTGGGACACTGTGACCGTCATAAATATGAATCAGTTGCCAAGCATCTGAATGTAAATCACAAGACCCTGGAGATGCTGTAACATTCCAGCTGATCGGCGCTTCTTCTGGGCTCAGCAGAAGCACCAGGATCAGTGCTGAGCTCCAGCTGGAGCCTGGTGCTGATCCTGGCGCTTCCGCTGAGCCCTGACAGCCCTGCAGCTCCAACCATCTCTCGCTCAGGCTTATGCGGTGCTGCCACCGGTTCAGCTCATTCCCCTCCCCCGCTACCACTTTTCTAGGATGGTCACGTACCACCTGCCAGGTGCCAATGTACGACAGATGGTACCCGTACCATTGGTTGAAAAGCCCTGGTCTAAAGTACATTTTATCATACTATGCAAATCCTATTGTCATTTTAAATATCTCAATAATTAGTAAAAAGAAATCATATGTATCTGCATAAATCATTAATTTCCTTTATTAGCAAGAGCTAATTACATCTCTTCTAGAAGTTTGACTACTAGATAACATAAGATAGCTTCATACCACTGCTGAAGAGATGTATCTTACACTCATGAAGCCATGGATGATTAGGATCAATAGCAAATGCTCTCTTCACAGATTGTAGCATAAGAAGAAATTTTTCTGTTTGAGACAAAATGACAAAATAATTTCCATAATCAGAAATGCAAACAGAACACCCAATTATGCTTTACAAGTATAAATACAATTTGAAATTAGAATTAGAATAAACATATACATCCTGACTTCGTTGTCAGTATAGTACAGATCATATATATCATAGCTGGTGAGATGTGAACAACTTACAACTGGCACAGAATAAGGAGAACCTGTATGTGGCAAAACTGGACTTTGTAATTATGGCATATTGGCCAAAACGTACTTAACTGACAGGTACACTCTTACTATTAGCACTGAACTGCATATGGCATAGTTTTAACCAAGGTAAAGTTAAGGAAATCTTTATTCAAATAGCTCAGCAGGCATCTCAGACTGAATCAATAAAACACAGCCTTAAATTAAAAATATTTATATTAAATGTTTTTAATATTATCAAAATCTTAAAGAGTCCATCAAATGTTACAGGATTTTGGGTGTTTTAATTTGGCTAGTCAGACTTTGACTAATTTTCCTATTTGATTTTATTTTTATTTGTGAAAATTGCTGACTCCTGCTTAAGCTATAGTGACTAATGTACATAAAGTAATGCTTAAATAATAATACAGATTTTATTCAATTACCATATTTTCAAGCTGAATGTAATTTTTAAATAGTTGGGAAAGGTTTGACCACTGTGCACATGCACATTTATATATGAATAATTCAAGGTAAACAAAAAAGTACAGAGTAAAGAAAATTGATAAATTCATGTTCTTTCCAAATTCTGCATGTTTCTCTTTAGAAAAATGACTTTACACCTGAAAATATACCACTGCTCATTCCAGGCTGTAGTAATTTTCATTTACCTTTCCTGAAGTAAATTTCAAAGGCAAAAAGATGGGTTTCTATTTTGTTCTTCACCAAATTCTTCAACGGAGTTAAAAACTTAATCGCTTCCTCCAAAGGTGCTTCAACCTAAAATTGGGAAGAAAAATCTTTCAAAATTTTAAAAAAAATCAAGGAGATCAAAATACTTATGGAGATGAATTATTCTATTAAATATATGCCAAAAGAAAAGAAAAGAAAAGAAAAAGTCTAGAGCCTCTTAATACCTAATGTCACCAAGTTGAAGAAATAGACCTAGTTGCACTTCAAATCTACCCCTTCTTCCTTTTAAGTGATAACTGTCTTTCATTACTGTTGGGAAAAAGTAGTATGATAAGGGAAAAATTGTAAATCTGTTAGAACTATCTTTTGTCCTACAGTACAGTGACTTACAATGTGACCAGAGTTTAATATCCTATTACTAAATACATCAGGTAAAATAATGCATAAAACACAACGTACTGTATCTTGAGCCAACATCCATTATCTACTGGGAAAAAAAGTTGGTTGCCACCATCAGACTCCTTTTCAGAATACATGACTATGGAAACAAATGAGGCCCTGATCAAAATATATCTGTAGACCTCAATACAGACTTTTGTTCCTCTAAGGACTACAAAACCAGTATCAAAGACTTAAACCTCTATCAGGCAGATAATTGAGAAAATATAACTTCATCTTTGGCTAAAGATCACCTTGATCTAGCAGACTAGAGGAACTAATTTCTGTGGACAGATGAGATGAGAGTGAACTTTTGGACATTAATGAGAACCATTATGTTTGCGGAAAATGAAAAAAAAAAGCATTTTAACAAAGGGATGTTATTCCAGGAGCGAAGCACAGCAGTGGAAATCTCAGGATCTGGACAGTTCTTTATTATACTGGCAAATTCTATTGGATAATTTTAGTGTATCCATCTGCAAGCCAAAATTTAACAAAGGTGCCTTGTGTTTCTAACAACACATACATGAATTTACAGCATAATGGCCGAAGAGACAGAAATCTGACATTTTAGAATAGCCAAATAACAACCCTGACCTTCATCCAACTAAAATTGGGCAAGAGGTATCAAAGGAGCAATAGCTTGAAGCAGTTCATGACCAAAACACCTTTAGAAAGATGAGCAGGATTGATTAACAGGTACTGAAAATAGTTGGTTGAAGTAATTCTGCTAAAGGAAGTGACACCAGTTATCGTATTTAAAATTCCACGTACATTTTCTAATAAAGACCATCAATGTTATTAAATGTAGTTAATACAGTATTTTGCTTGTTTAATCAGAATCTTAACTATTAACAACTCAGGTGAAGTTCACATCACAAGTTATAATACTGCACAATTGCAGAACCTTTTAAAATGTTTACAAACTTTCACCATTGTAAGATGCTGCTTAATTCTTATGTTGTGGTGGAGAGAAAGATTTATTCTCTGGATACTTTCACTCCTAATGGAGCCAATTATCTTGGGGCTTTATCACTTTTTTTCCAGTAGATAATGGATGTCAGCTCAAGATGTTCAGTAAAACCATGATACAATACATTGTGTTTTATGCATTGTTTTACCTGATGTATATAGTAATACATAAATAATAGATGATAAAATTTATAATATATATTATTTTCTCTCATACATTATCAGCATTGTTCATATATAGTACAAACTTTAGTGTTTATCTGTGTAGTAAATGATATAGCTGTAAGAATTCAGCTTATTTTATAAAAAACAAATAAAAATAATTTTATAAAAAATAAGCAAATCACATATGTTATAATACTATGTTCATCCCCGGGAGAGAACCAGAGTTTGGTTGGGAAAGCATTAGCTGTTTGAGTATTCCAGAAAATTAACATCCATCGTGCCTGTTCACAGTGAGGCCATTAATGAAAAACAGAAGAGTCTATCTTAACAATCTGAAAGAGGTAGAAAAGTGAAATTAATCCTGTTTAGATTTCTATTGCTTTTCAATAAATTCTCTTTCAAAAATAAAAATTAAAAAGCAGCTCCTACCAAGTCCTTACCCTTCTAATCTTCTAACAATCTGACTCAGTAGCTTGTTAAATATAGCATGCTATTAGAAGTATACCTTTTTTTTTTGAGGTCCCACACAGTCCCTTATTTTAACCTCAATATAAAAATATAAAAATTAGTGAAGGACAAACTTTATGGCCTATCCTTATATTGCCCAAACATTTTTATATGAATATTCAGAACCGCTACTCTTCAGTTAATGACCTAATTTGTTAAGTATCTCTTTAATACTAGAAGAGGAGGAGGAACCGCCTAGATGGTTCCGCCCCAGGCGCCTGATGGACCCAGAGAGGTTCCTGACGGAGCTTGGGCCATATCCTGAGGACCTAGTTCACGATTCGGTTGAAAATTTGGCGGCGGCCTGGGAAGTGGCCGCTGCCGCAGCATTGGACCGAGTCGTGCCTTTGCGGCCTCTGACCCGGCGCAGATCTCAACTGGCTCCCTGGTTTACCGAGGAGCTGAGAGAGATGAAGCGCCGGAAAAGACGCCTAGAGAGCAGTTGGAGGGCGAGCCGAAGCGAATCCGATCGAGCACAGGCA